GAGATTTTGGATAAGAAGGCAGTGGGGGAGGAGCGGAGGAGCCGAGCTCTCAGCACTGAATTAAAAAAGGATGAGGGTGCAGTTAAAAGGGAGGCTGAGAAGGAGCCAAGAAATAAAAATATGCTGGGGATTTTAAACTGGGTGTAGCCACAGCTGGGTAAATCCTACTCTTCCACTCAGACTGGCTTTTCACACTGGCCTGCCCTTCCCCTCCCCCCAGCCAGGCCCATTCTAAATTCTTTCCAGGCTCCCATCCTTTCCACCCCCTCTTCCTCTGAAGAGAAATTATATAGGAACCGGGGAGGAAGTGACACGTTCCTGCTTGAATGGAGCCAGCCAATGCAGCAGCCACTTGTCCCTTCCTCGGCAATCTTGCTGCAGGAGCTGGGATCCCTGTGTAAGATTCTCCCCTGCCTGAGCTCTGGTGTCCAGCATGCCTTGGCAAGCTCCACGTGAGGCTTAGGGCGTGCTGCATGGCTCCAGTTCCCCTCAAGTGCACCTTCCAGTCAGCAGTCAGTCATCCAATTCAGAGTATATATCATAGAGCTGGAGTCAGTCTGTTAGTCTGGCTTCTTTTGCTCTATGTGTGTGCACTTCGTGTGTGTGTGTGTGTGTGTGTGTGTGTGTGTGTGTGTGTGTGTGTGTGTGTGTGTGTGTGTTTAGTTTAAATTATCTGGGAGTGGGGTCTCAGAGGCCAAAAGAGGGTGTCAGATCTCCGGGAGCTGGAGTTTTGGAGTTACAGGCAGGTGTGAGCCATCTGATGTGGGTTCTGGGAGCGGAACTCTGGTCTTTGCAAAGCAACACACACTCATAACTGCTGAGCCATTGCTTCAGCCCCTTCGGTTTTTTAATAAAGACGCCAAGAGCCAGGAAATGCCAGGGTCGGCTAGAAAACAATGGGAACAACTTGATTAATTAATTTATTTATTATTGTCTTGTTTTTGTTTTTCGAGACAGGGTTTCTCTGTGTAACAGCCCTGGCTGTCCTGGAACTCACTTGGTAGACCAGGCTGACCTTGAACTCACAGAGATCCTCTTGCCTCTGCCTCCTGAGTGTTGGGATTAAAGGTGCGTGTCACCACCACTCCCCCCCAACACACTTGCTTTATTTATTTTTAATATTTATTATTTTTAATTTTACATGTGTGGGTGCTTTGCCTACATGTATGTTTGTGTTGCACATGCATGCCTGGTGTCTGCGGAGGTCAGAAGAGAGCAGTGGATCCCCTGGAACTGGAGTCGAGGGGGTCTTGGCTGCCATGTGGGTCCTGTGCAAGAACAACAAGTTCTCTCTCCCCACCCCCTTTACCTAATTTTAATGCTGTGTGTTGTATGTCCTTCCATGACATCAAATGCTGACATTTTTCCAGTCTGACTCTTCCTCCGTAGCCTTCAGAATCACTAGATGCAATGCTAACAAGATGATAAAACTTAGTGAAATAAAGATTAAGGTTCCGTGCACATGATCAGCACTGAGCAAGCCTTCAGTCCTCTGTTTTTCTATCCTCTAGCCTGCATATGGTGGTGTTTGGATTGTGATTATGTTTCTATCATTTTTTCACTAGAATAGAAACCTTTTTTTTTTTTTTTTTTAGGTTTATTGTGATTATTTTAGTTGTTTGTTTGTTTGCTTGTTTTTGAGACAGTGTCTCGCTCTGTAGCCCAGCCTTGCCTGGAACTCACTGTGTGGCCCAAGCTGGCCTCAAAGTTATGTCAATTCCTCTGCCTTAGCCTCCAGAGGGCTGGGGTTACAGATGGGAGACGGCATGTCTTACTAGAGGGTGGTAGGGGTGGTGGTGGTGGTGGTGGTGGTGCTGCTGCTGCTGCTGCTGCTGCTGCTTCTGTTTCATCCTTTTCCTCTTCTTTTGAGACAGGCTTTCACTGTGTAGCCCTGGCTGTCCTGGAACTCACTATGTAGATCAGGCTGGCCTCGAACTCACAGAGATCCTTCTGCCACAGCCTCCTGAGTGCTAAGATTAAAGGGTTGAGCCATCACACCTGGAACTAGAAGCTTCTTGAAGGTAGATCCAATGCCTCCTTTCTATTTATATCTCCAGAATGTAGCTTCCTGATGTCTATTGAATTACTTGGACCAGTTACTGAACTAGTAAATGTTGGTCTCTTTTGGCCAATGATGGACTTAGTCCCTACAGGCAAAATACTGGGGGCCCAGGAGGCAGCTCAGTAGGTAAAAGGCTAACTTTGCAAGCATGAGCATCTGAGTTCAGGTCCCAGCACCCAAGTGAAAGCTGGATATGACTCAGATATAGTCTCATGCTCTTTTAATCCCAACATTTAGGACACAGAGGTAGACAGAGGCAGGCAGATCTCTGTGAGTTTCAGGCCAGCCCGGTCAACCCATTGAGTTTCAGGCCAGTACTGGGCAGCTGAGACACAAGGATGCCCAGGGTTCATTGGCCAAACAATCTAAACCAATCAGTGAGCTCCAGGTTCAACAGCGTGGGAGCATCACTGAATGTATTAGTCTCCAGACAGAGCTGCACATCCTGTCTCAAAACCAAACAATAGAAACAAACAGAATAAGAAACAATGGAGCTACGGAAATAGCTCAGCTTATAAAGGCTCTTTCTACCAAGCCTAACAACCAGGGTTCCATTCCCAGAACCCACATGGTGGAAGGAAGGAACTGATTCCTGCAAGATGTCCTCTGACCTCCACAAGAGTGACAATACAACATACACACATGCTTATGTTGCACACACACAGACACACAAAAAAATAAATATAATTTTAAAGAATTAAAATATGCTGGACAGTAGAAGTGCAAGCCTTTGCTCCTAGCACTCAGGAGGCAGAGGCAGAGGCAGAGGCAAGCAGATCTCTGAGTTCAATGCCAGCCTGATCTACAGAGCAAGTTCTAGGACAGCCAGGGCTACACAGAGAAACCCTGTCTTGGAAAAGAGAAAGGGGGGGAGGAATTAAAACTTTAGAAATAATAAGCCCAATTATATACTTAGTAGAGTTAGTTAGTGGGGAGGACCGGGTAGTTTAATTTTCTTTCTTTCATTTTGTTTTTCTAAGACAAGATTTCACTGTGTAGCCCTGGCTATTCCAGAACTAGCTATGTAGACCAGGCTGGCTTTGAACTCACAGAGATCTTCTTGCCTCTGCCTCCGGAGTGCTGGGATTAAAGGCATGTGCCGCCACGCCCGGACTTGTTGGGTCTTTATACTAGCGTGTTCAGCTATCTTTTGTTCTCTCTCTCTCTCTCTCTCTCTCTCTCTCTCTCTCTCTCTCTCTCTCTCTCTTCCCCCCTTCCTCCCTCTCTCTCTCTTCTCTTTCTCTCTCCCCTCTTTTGGTCTTACATTTACTCATTTGCATATGTGTGAACGTCAGACAATAGCGACAGCTT